TAACCCTCATACCAAAACCAGGGAAGGACGTTACTAAGAAAGAAAACTATAGACCAATATCCCTCATGAACAAAGGGAATAGTTAACAACTAGAAGTCAAAAGCATGATCCTAAGTATCAACACAAGGCTTGATGAATGAATTACAATTATTCTAATCAAGGTTTCTTCAAGTGCAGATATAGAGAATTCAACAGAGTGGTTGGAAACACACATAGACCCAGGCCTCACCCAGAGATGGACTCATTTATCTGCCCATCCATTCATTCAATAATATCTACCAAGCTTTGCTACCTGCCAGCACTGTGCTACGTCATCTGAAGCCTTGCTGTCAGAGCACTTTCTGTCTGTGTATGCTTACTGAGCACTCAATGCGCCTAATGCAACTGAGGAACTAAGGTTTTTAAAATTTCATGTCATTTTAATTGGTACCTGTGTTCTTAGTAGACACCGTGGTGGTGTAACAGTAAATCACTTGGTACTATGCAAACCCTTGGTGGTCTGGAACCCACCAGCAGCTCCCTGGGAACAAAGAATTGGCAGTCTACTCCTGTGGAGGTTACAGCCTAGGAACCCTGGTGGAGCAATGACTGCTACTCCACGCTACAGGGGCACTACGAGTCAGACTCGATTGGGCAGCACACACAAAAATGTTCTTAGAAAATAGCAAAAACTTGACAATCACCGTCCTAGGCACTACAGAAACTGAACTGAAACAAAGAAAGAATTTATCATTAACCACTAAAAATAAAAGAATGAATTAAAAAGGTTCAATTCTAAAGCATTTCAATCAGTGAAAGTTTTCTGAAAATTCAAACTTCTTTTTGTTAATATCCTAAAAAGAAGAGGACTAAAATGCCCATAAAGTGTGAAGAACTTATGTATAATGCAGAAAAACGTGAGCATTTTCTAGAACATAATTACCGCCTCTTACCCGCTCCTCTTTGGTGTAGAGCTGGAAGCACTGAGACAAAGTGCAAGTTTGAGGCTGATGATGACACTCCCTTTGCAGACGGACACTTTCTGCATCAGGGATATACTCATCTTCAGTATTTACAAACAAGCTGCAATGAGGAGGAAACAGCATTTATCAGAGAACGGCTTGCAAAATGGACACAAAAATACAATTATAGCTTCACAAAGGGCTCATAAATTTATCACAAAAAGATAAATGTATAAAAAGGCAAAAGTGGTCATTCGATTTTTCTACATTCCAAAATGTTGTTAAAAAGTTCTCTACCTACAAAGCAATTTAGAGTGGGCTTTTCTGGGATTGGCCATGAACTGTGCTGATTAATCAACACAAGCGGTCCCTGGTATTTAGGGTATGCATTCAACAACAATGCTTTCTAGAGTTAATGGGCCTGAAATTTAAAAAATGAAAAATCAAAGTAACTGAACCTATATAGATACTTCTGTCTCACTAGCAGTAAGCAAGCACCCTAAGGTTTCAGGGTCTGGAAGATAGAATATGGAATGGAATGGAAAGGAGCAATAAACTGTTTAAATAAAGGAAAAGCAATACAGTGGATCCTTAGCTCAAGATAAGAGAGATTTGCATCTCAACTAATCTGAAAGATTAACAATGTGCCACTGAGATATAAAAACAAAAATTCTATAAATGCTAAGTAAAATTAAAAAAAAAAATACTCACAAATCTTTTGTCTCCTTGTCCCATTCTACAACTAATTTCACATGAGCAGTGCCTCCTGGTCCACAAGACTTTAATGCCCTAGGGGAGGGGGTGAGGGAAAGCCACACATTGTTTTCTAAATAAATGGTTTCATTTCAGTGTGATCGTGTTCTATCTAAAGTTGTTAATACAATGATTGAAAACCTTCACAAAGTCTCCTGTGAGGCCATCGTTCCCTCAGACTTACTAACTAGCTTACATCTGGACTGTGAAACCTTCAAATGAAAAGTTCAGCATAGAAATAAACTGGAAGAAATGCAGACTCACCCTACTAGGCTGTCAGCAATCACTCTACCACATTCCTTTGAACCCAACTTCGTGCCCAATTTCTCACCAACTCTTAAAGTTCCTGGACAACAGTCCCCTGGGGAATAAAGTCTTCTTTTGCACCTCTCTACCACCCACACAGACCATGCCTACTGCCATCAGAAGGCACATTACTAGCCATATATCATCGAGGCTATGCCCACACCACTGTAAACACGTCGGCCCTGCAGGGCACTCCTCAAGTCCTACCCACTTCCTTCCTTCATCAAGCCTCTACAGAGACCTCGCCAGCACCCACTGTCAACACGGCTCGTCCAGCATTTTTATGCTTTGCAGTGTTTGGGGTCATTATTTACTCTATTAAGTCTCACCTCCAGAACCAAACAGTAAGCTGCTTTCAAGAAAAACTATGCTATATACTTTTTGCAATCCTGAAATAAGGCAGTACTTTTGTTGAAGAAAACATTGTAATAAAAACACTGTATCTGTATTTATGCCTCCATCTAAGCATACAAATATCCATCTCTAATAGATATATAGGTTGTTCAAACCTACCAGCTGCTCCTTGGAAACCCTATACAGCGTCACTATGAGTCTGGACCAACTTGACGGCACTTAACAATTCTTTTATTTGGGAGCACGGTGGCTTTGTAAGATAAACACTGACTGTTAACCACAAATCTGGCAGTTCAAACCCACTGGACATTCCAAGGGAAAAAGATGAGGCTTTCCACTCCCATAAGGGTTTATAGCTTGAGAAACCCTATACAGGGTCTCTATGAATCAGAACCAGCTGAATGGCACATAACAACACTACTGTATTAATAAAAAGAATATTGTAAATACAACAGAATTATGTGGAGAGCACATACTTTCAGAGTGGAGTGATTAATTTCAGAGTGCGATGATTAATTGGTAAAGAAGGGATCATATGAGAAAAGTCTTAAGAGAAAAGAATTATGAACAAAGGAAACCAGACACACACATGAGAAAGCATGTTAAACACTCATCAGTAACTTGATACTGCAAGAGGCTGAAGACGGCGGGGACCGGAATAGTAAACCATTCATTACAGAAGGGAAGTGCTTGGGTTCAAACTGTGAAAAACCTCATGTTTTGTGAAACCTGGGTTTTATCTTCTAAGCCATAGGGTACCATTGAAAAACTTCAAGGAGGAATGTGACCTACACAGAACTTGACCCTGCAAAATGTCAATCCTGGTGCACCTGAAAGCATAATTTATCCCAGGACGTTGGTTAATTTGCTTCCTCACATCAGAATTACCTGGCTTCTCTGATTTCAAGAAAAACAATGAAACGTATCACCCACAAACAGGATTCAAAAGTAAATTAGTACTTAATTTCTAAATGAAGCAAATGAATCTACCACATTTCTGTGGAAATCGTATCAGATGCCACTGGAAATATGGGCATACATGCAATTCTAGAAGGTTTTGTTGTTGTTGTTGTTGTTTGTACCTTTCCACTGTTGGATGGCACAAGGGCTGCTCTTCCTGGGGCAACAAGTATGTTATTCCTACGACACTGACCACACGCAAGCTGAATGGGCACACCTGTGGAAGAGTCAAATCAGAGACAGGTTGGACTCCTTTTCAAGTGCATATGATTCATAGGGACATTTCCAAAGATTAGAGGGGGAGTAAATGTCCACTTTACAAATACGCTTATTAATCTATGATATTCTGTCAGGCTGCTAGACTAGGTCTAATGTACTTCAAATACCATCTCCCCAAGTGCACTTTACATATCAAATATCTTATGTAAGACAAGTAATATACTGCTTTAGCGAAACATTAACTTAATGGTCCTCCATGGATACCTTTAACAACAATGGATAACATATCAGTAACAATCATAATATTTTTCAATATACTTAATTTTTTTAATTGCTATTATGATGAAAATATAAAATACATGAAAGCATAAGGAGGAACAAATGAATAAGTAAAACTATCCAGGTAGATATTCCACCAAAACGTAAAACTTTACTCAAAAACTATTTAAAAAAAAATACCCAGCCATTGAAGGGAGACCCAGAGCCGCCGGGCTAGGTGCTCCATTTTGACTCTGTGAACACAGCTGACACATCACTAACGGGCTTGGCACCAGGGCTTCCCAACACCCCAGCCTGGTGTCTGATCGACCCCAAACACAGAGATCTGGAGTTTAAATTCCATTTTAATGACTGTTCCAAAAGCATGCTGTGGTGCTGGAGTAACAGAATGCTTACAAACCTGAATACAAACTGTGGGCCTCAAGAAATAGTTCATCTTCTCTAAGATCTCTTTCTGTAGAAGGTCCCAGGCTACTGTTTTCTCTAGATGCAGCACAAAAGGCAGTCCAAACCTAACACAGACAAACACTGTAGTATTCGTAAAAGTACAGCAACTCTTTGAAAACTGCAACTTCTTATTCTTGATCTTTTCAATCAGTATCACAAGAAAATTAATTTTAGGACCATTTTCAAAATTAAACAAATAGGAAATTGAAACTCTCATAAACGGATGACACAGATTAGATTTCTAAATGAAATTTAATAGCCTATTTACCAAATTAAGTCTAGGTGAGTATGATGTTAGGCTATGAGGCAGCAAAGGCACAAGAATAGGGGAGATGGTTTGAAAAGCAGCGGTGGGGGGCGACCAGTGGACAGGAACTGACAAACAGTCTGAGTCAAACAGAAAAGGAGTTAGACGCCAGAGGAACAGGGAGTTGGAAGGTGTATCAGGCAGGGAGCCATATCCTAGTCATCCCTACTCATGAGGGAGACTCTGGCCAGGAAGTAACAGTGGACGTCAGCTCCCTCTAAGGCAGCAGCCATCTGGCCTCTGCCACATTTCCTAGATCAGTGCTGGGACCGCAGGTGTCAGAGAATCAAAGCCAATAAAGCGGTTCTCGGCCTTGGCTATGCAATCAAAATTACCCATTAAACAAAACCTAATACCATCAAGTCAATTCCAGTTCCTAGCGACCCTGTAGGACAGAAGAGAACTGGCCCAGAGGATCTCCAAGTTGTAAATCTCTATGGAAGTAGACTGCCCCATCTTTCCCTCACTGAGCAGCTGGTGGGCTCAAACTACCAACTCAGGTTAAAGGGTACTATTAATGTGTGCTGGTAGCGTAGTGGTTACGAATCGGGCTGTGACCCTCAAGGTCAGCAGTTCAAAACTAACAGCTGCTTCGTGGGAGAAAGATGAGGCTTTCTGCTTCCGTAAAGATTTACAGCCTCAGAAACCCTGTACAGGGTCGCTATGGGTTGGAACCAACTCGACCGCACTTAACAACAACAACCACAACATAGGTGCCTGCGGACTGGAGGTGCATGGTTTACTACCTTGGATGCTAACTGAGAGGCTGGTGGTTTAAGCCCACCGGCTGCTCCACAAGTAAAAGTCAGAGGAAGTGTGCTTCCCTAAAGATTTACAGCCTCAGAGCTCCTACAGAGCAGCTGTCCTCTGTCCTACAGGATCGATCACTTTAAGTCAGAATGGACTGGACAGGAGGAAGTTAAGTCAGTAGTCAAAGCAATCCTTGTTAAATCTGAGCCCATTGCTACTGTGCCAATCCATCTTGTTGGGGGTCTCCCTTTTTCTCCAACCCTTCACCTTAGCAAACATGATATCCTTCTCCAGTGACTGATCCTTCCTGGCAATATGTCTGAAGTATAAGAGACGAATTTTGGCCATCCTGGTTTCCAAGGAACACTCTGGCTGTAATTCTTCCAACACAACACAACCTTGAATATTGAAATTCAAGGTTTGATTTTTTTTTTTCTTCAGCTTGAGAAATGTCCAGCATTATCTTCACTTTTGGTTTTCTAGCCCCAAGTCTTTGTACAGTTCATTATAATGCTTCACTCTGTCTTTCTGAGCTGTCCTTTGAAATCTGTCCTGGTGCTTTTACTTCATCATTTCTTTTTTGGCAATCGTCAGTCTAGACTTAGAGCAAGTTTCAGAGACTCTACTGGATCGATTTGGGCCATTTTTCTTTCTTTTTAGGAAAAATGCAAATCAAAACCATAATGATACCACTTCACACCCACTAGGATGGCTATGATCAGAAAAAGAGAAAATAACAAGTATTCAGTGGGATGTGGAGAGATGTGTTAAATAGGATGTGGAGCCCTTGCCTAAGGCTGGTAGGAGTATAAAATGGTGAGGCCCACTGTGGAAAACAGCTTGACAGTTCCTAAAAAACTCAAGACATAAAATTACCTTATGACCCAACTACTCCACTGCTAGGTATAGGAAGGGGCTTCAAAGTGCTCATGGAAAAATGGAATTTTCTACAAACTTTTTTAAGTGACTCGAATGTAGGAACTCAAACAGATACATGTGCACCAATGTTCACTACCGCATTTTCACAATACGTAAAAAGTGGAAACAACCTAAGTGTTGATCAACAGATGGAAATGTTGTTGTTGTGTGCTGTCGAGTCATTCCATCTCTGAGATCAGCTGCTGAGTCTGAAGTGCCGACCCTGCCGTTAGCAGTCCAGTGTTCATCCTACAGCACCACACCAGGGTTCAACCAAATGTGACATATACAGAAAACTGAACATTATTTAGACAGAAAGATAAAAGGAAGTTCTAAACTATACTATAATAGATGAACCTTGAACACATGCTAAGTGAAATAAGTCAGTATCAAAAGAACTATTATATGATCCCATTTATATGGAATCTCTACAGGAGGTAAATGCACAGATATGAACGCTTATTAGCTATAGGATAAGCACTGAACTGCTCATTGCAAGGTCGGCAGTTGAAACCCACCAGTCACTCTTTGGAAACCCCTATACAAGGAGGTGCTGTAGGATCAGCAATGAACTTCAAACCACAAAGTCAGTAGTTCAAACCCACCAGGTGCTCCTCAGAAACCCTGTGCAGGGTCGCTATGGGTTGGAATCAACTCAATGGCACTTAATAACAATAAGATACAGGTTCACTATGAGTCTGAACTGACTCAACGGCACTTAACAACAACAAGGGGTGGTGGAATGAGGTAATGACAATTATTGCTTAAGGGGATACTGAGTTTCTGTTAAGAGTAATGAAAAATTGGATACTGATGATTATAATTAATGTACACGTAAAAATAGGTTAAAATGGAACCTATTTTATTATATATATTTTTTACCACAATAAAAAAGAATTTTTTTAATCTAAAGAGTAACATAAAGGTTATCCTTACAAACACTAGAAAAAGTTTTTTCTATTTGAAATAGCCCTAATCTGTCCTCTGTTGTTATTCAGATTACAGTAATGTTTTCATAAAGTTACTTTAAAAGACAGTCTAAAACTCTCATAAATTCTTAAAGAGGGAAGCAAAGAGATTGGAGAAAGATAGCCAACTCATAAGTTTCTTATTTATACAGCTGAATGAACAGAGGTAGCATTTGGCAAAACAGGAAACACTGGTAAGCCAGGTTTACAAGGAAAGATAAAGAGTGAAGTTTGGGGACTAAGTTTAAGGTGACTGTATCTTTCTAGTAGGCATGTTAAGAATTTCAGCTGCTAAGAAAACAGCCCCATATAAGGCCTAGAGTCCCTAGAAAAACCTAAGGTGAAAGCAGACATAGAAATGGGCCCTTTCTCAGATTCTATTCTAATTTCATTACCTTCCTTCCACCTCACCTTCCTAAATAAACAGGTCAACCTTTACTTCTAAATCTCAGAATCAAAAACTAAGTATTGAAAGTGGACATTTTCATCCCTGCTTAAAAAAGGAAAAAAAAAATATTGACAACTTTTCTCATCTTAATACTTATTGGAAAATAGCTTGTTTTTTACCTTTTCCCTTGCTGCCCAGTGCAAGCTCGATTACACACCAAAACAACAATTTTGTCAGTTCCTGCTCTTGTGGAAGGCAAGTCCATTTTCCCTTGTTTTGCTGCTGTTTGTACAGGGGAAGAAAGTCTATGGTGATCCAAGCCAAATTTCAAGTGGTTTAGATTGTTATTTAAATGAAGTCCTGAAAGAGAATTAAAACATGTCATTTTAACTCTTCAAAATTATTTTCTTTCATTAGAAATAAATTTTAAACAATAAAGAAAACACATTATGTATTATAAGTTGTCACATTATGTAAATTAAACTACAATCCAAAAAAAGAGAGAACAAATGCTCTAATTTGAGATTTCCCATCTAGCTACTAAGATTTCTTGTTGTTGTTGTTAAGTGCCGTGGAGTCAGTTCCGACTCATAGCGACCCTGTACAGGGTTTCTGAGGCTGTAAATCTTTACGGTAGCAGAAAGCCTCATCTTTCTCCCGCGGAACAGCTGGTAGTTTCGAACTGCTGACCTTGTGGTTCACAGTCCGATTCGTAACCACTAGCAGTCATTATTTTCTTTAAGCTAGACTTTGCTTGCTAGGTGCACTGGAGGTGCTGTAAAATAAGGACTGAACTGCTAACCAAAAGGTCAGTGGTTCGAGCCCACCAGCACCTCCACTAAAGATTTCCACCCTCAGCAACACAATACATAAATTAGAACCAACTCGCTGACACCTAACAACAGCCTTAGTTAGCTAGGCATCTTATCATCTGAAAATTAGGACTCCTCACTAGAGCAAATATTAGATCGCTTTCGATGGGCAAGTTTGCTGAGATGAGCCACCAGGACAAATGTACACTGAGACCATGTAACCAACAACCAAAAGGAATTTTTAAAAAACAAAAACCAAGCCATGTGAAACCACCTTTGTTTTCCAATGGCAGTGTCTTCTCCCTTTCCTATGACACAAAGAGAAACTACCTTACACCTCAGAGCACCACTGTAAGAATGCTGTTGCTGTTAAGTCTGTTCTGACTCATAGCAACCCTTTAATGCAATCAAATAGACTGGGTCAACCTACATTAAAGGAACAACATGGGCATATTGTGTTTGCTGAAAACCAATTCTTCCTGAATGTCCCAAAGCAGGACTATTTACCCACAGGGAACTAGAGCTGCCCAGAAAGTCAGTACCTAAAACAATGCCTTACTCTTTGTAGGAATCAATAAATAAGTAAGGAATTGTTCATTTCCTATAACAAGGATTTTCAGCTTTGGAAATTCAGCCTAAGTAAATGATATCCCAGCAGGCAAAAAGGTAGAAAATCCGCCACAATTGCAACCACACACACAAAAGTATATTACACCACTACCACCAGAAAATGAGTAAAATAAAAAACAGTTTACTTACACACAGGTCCTCACAGCAGAACGCAGGCAATAACCTAAATACTCAACAATATTAAGACCTGCTGAACTTACTTTATTCAGGTACATCAGCCTTACATCAATTTAAAATGACAAGTACAAGGCGAGTACCAAAATAAATTTCTGATAAATTACAATTAAAGCACAACACAGAAACTAGTGAAGGAAGGCTTTTAAAGCTTAAACAATAGAAATCTCACACAAATCAAGAAGAAGATTTCACTTCATAACTATTTTAACTTCTGGCTGGAGGAGCCTGAGTTCAACACAGTGAGTGATCTCATGTCCCAGGCTTATGGCAAAGGTAGGGGTAAGAGGGCCTGTTCTCCTGGAAGTGATCAGGATCCACATGGAGGGCATGCCACCCAACCACACAGAAACCAAGCTTTGTGTTCAGACTGTTCACTACTAGCTGTGTGACCCTAGCCAGTGGTTACTTCCCTCTCCTAGTCTCAGCTTTCTGTCTGCAAAGCAAGGAAAGTGGAAGTCTCATATGTACTGAAAAAACGCTATTTGAGCTCTGGTAGCGTAGTGGTTACGAATCGGGCTGCAAACCTTAAGGCCAGCGGTTCGAAACTACCAGCCGCTCCGCGGGAGAAAGATGAGGCTTTCTACTCCC